GAGCTGTTTATTTGGTGTCCATCCAGAGCGAGGACAGTCTGGTTAGAAGGTGCGGGAAGAAGTTTGATGCCATGGTTCTTGGCAAAGGATTTATCCAAAAACTCAGTATCTGCTCCTGAGTCAATAAATACAGAGACCTGGTGGGGAACAGAGGAGACCAACATGTTAGCAGGGAAGGAGAGTGAGGAGACAGTCATAGAGCCACGGCTCAGTAGAGAACCCCTCACCTCTACTGAGCCTGGCCTTTTAGCGGGCATTTGGCAGCAACATGACCCTGTCCCCCACAGTAAAAACACAGGTTTAGTTGCTTACGACGAGAACGCTCCTCTAGAGAAACCTTAGTTCTCCCCAATTGCATGGGCTCTGGATTGGATGTTTGGGAAGCAGGAGGAGAGCTTCTCAGCCAGGGGTGAGATCCTGAGTGGGAGGCTGGGGTAGACAAAACCTCCTTATGTCGTCTCTCTCTTCTCCTCTCAGTGAGCCGGAGATCAATTTGAGTAGCCAAATCTTCCAGTTCCTTCAGTGACTTGGGATACGCTTGGGTAGCCAGTTGATCCTTGATGTTATCATTTAGTCCTTCCATAAAGGCATCCATTAATGCCTCCTGATTCCAACTGCTGTCGGCAGCTAGCACATGAAAATCGATGATAAACGAAGTCACACTCCTCTTCCCCCTGCCTTAAGGTATACAACCTCCTGGCGGCCTCACGGTTAGGGAGAACAGGGTCGAACACTCTAATGAGCTCCTTAGAGAATTCAGAGTAAGAGGAACAGGAAACAGAGTTATTCTGCCATTCAGCTGTGCCCCATTGTTTAGCTTTACCTGACAATAGTGAAATGACGAATGCCACTCTGGAGCGCTCAGTAGGGAAGGAGGATGGTTGCAACTCAAAGTGTATCTCACACTGAGTCAAAAAGGCTCGACACTGCTCCGGGTCTCCTTTAAATAATTCTGGAGGGGTCAGCTTTGGTTCCTTAACAATGGTAGAAACGGTATGGGGATTAATGGCAGCTGGCTGTGGTGGGGCCTGAACAGAGACAGGAGACAAGGTGCGTAACATGGAAATAATTTCATTCATTCCTGCATCAAGACGAGCGATGGAATTATCCACACTGCTACGCCACTGCTGTGCTGGCGAGGGGTCCATTTTTTGGCCAGATAATTCTGTAATGAGCCAGTCAGAAGACCCAAAGTTTCAGCCAGAACACAGAATAATGATTTAAACAGTTTATTAAAAACTCAGGACATCAGGAGCACATCCACCGTGGGTCAGGGATTTCTAAGGAGGGAGATTTAGGTTAGTGGCTTGAAGGAGTTCAAATAATGAAAAGCATGAAACCAACAAAACCACTAACCTTAAAAGAGTCCCCCCTTCAGCAGCATGAATAGAGCAGATTTCTCCTTAAAACTGTTGTTGGGTGGCCAACAGTTGGGTGGCTTGGAGCACAGAGGCAGGAATTAGGTCCAGGAAGCCAGACTCAGGCTTTAGTGAACAGGGAGCTTGGCAGGAGGCAGAAGTCAAGAGGCAGAAACAGGGTCGTTGTCCAGAGGGCAGAGAAATCCAAAAGGGGCTAGGCAAAAAGGGAAAATCCGTGAAGCAAAGACTTGGTCAGGTAACTTTAAGTGCTGGATACTGCTTGCTAGTTGGTTTGCAATTATCTGGCCCTGTCTGCCTGCCACAGGCTGTCTTATAACTGCTTGAACACAGGTGAGAGACATTCTGCTGATTGCACTGCAGTGCAGCAGGCAGCAGCTGGAGATGATTGCTCACAGGGAGAGCAGAGCAGGCAGACAGGCCAGAATCATAACACTATCTGACCTGCGTATTTAAGAACTGATATAAACAGAACAATTAGGATAACATGAAGTTTTCCTAAAGGTCTCAAAAAGCAACACATCATACCCCAATCTAAAGATATATGATAATACATGAAAAGAAGTAGATTTCCTCTTTCATTCTTAAAAAACGAAACAGTCTAGAAGAAACGAAGATGTTGGGGTCTTCAGTAAACTACAGGGAGAACTACAGTATAATGCAGAATTTAAGAAAATATGGAAAAGTTCTGTGATCGCCTTTCTAAAACATTGCATAGGATCCTCACTAAAAGGGGAAAGACAGCAAACATAAAAAAAATGACATACAACCCCCATACAAATCAGACACAAAACCAAGGAATTTTTCGTTATCAAACTTGTATGCACAAGGCTCCTATTGTCCGAGCTCAGAACAGAGAACCCAGTATTCAGACAGACAGTATGATATCTGAAAAAGCATTTATTTAAAACAGCGGAGGTTGTGTAAATCAGGAACCTCTAGTCTTAAAGTTAAGGCCATGCCAGAGGAGGAGAAGATCAGAGATCTGAAGAGGTGCTTAAAGCTGAAGTCTGTAAGTTTTTAAAAATCACTTTTTTGTCATATTGGCTAAAACTGTCCCTATACCCAGACAGCAGTACATGTGATATGTAACCTGTGAAAAAAACTGCTTCAATTGGTCCCGCCTACTGCCTGTATTGCAATCTGGAAAGAATATTTCGGGACGAGACAAAACAACCAATCACAGCCAGAGGAGCGTCTGATGGAGTGTCAATCACAGCTCACACACGCTGAATCCCACCCCCTCCCTCTCACCGCTGAACATGCCGCCTGTTTTTCTTCAAATTTTCAGTCGAAGTCTGCTCTCACCTCAATGTTACAGACTGCAGCTTTAAGGTAAATCCAGGACGGCGTAAGGAAGCAGTTCCAGGTTCAGTAAACAAGTAGAATCCAGCAGGAGTCTGAAGACAAGTCAGGCAAACAAATCAGAACAGGAACAGGCAGGCTCAGAGGTCCAGGGGCAGAATGGGTCAGGATCAGGTAATTGGAAACAATAAAATTAAATAGAAGACTTTCACCAAATGTTTGAAAAACCTGGCACTGATGACTGGAGGAAGGCAGATTAAATGGAGACTGGAGCAGGAGAAACAGATGAGCGGTAATGAGAAACTGGGCGTAGCTAGGCAGCGGAATGGAATCAGCAATCAAGCCAAGATCATGACACCTATAGTTTGTGTAAAGCGCAGCATGAATATCAATATATATTTAATTTATCAACTTATCAATGGTTTTCTTGGTTACTAAAGGAAACTGCAAAAACGAGTTCATAAAAGCTAAGTTTCACTGAGGCAGAAATAGGTGTGTTGAGTTGGAGTTGGGGGCATATGCTAGGTAGCCCCAGTGTTGGTGTGAACAAAAAGGAAGTAATATAAATGGTATCCTCAGACTACTGTTGGAATGATTGTGTTAACAAGGTTTTTTTTGGCTTGAACCCTGTCTCAAGTGACTACAAGCTATTATTCCTATTGGTGCAGACTCTTTTTCTGTTGATGTTAGTGTTATAACCAGAATATATATATATATATATATATATATATATATATATATATATATATATATATATATATATATATATATATATATATATATATATATATATCACAGACTACTGGTTATCAATACTGAATTAAAGACTGAATTTAAGACTGCACACCCTGATACCCTTTCTTTTTTTTTTTTCCTACATTGGAGTTTTGCAGACAACCTCCTTTTGTTAACAGCTGTGTTGAACAGGGATGATTAGCGTCCGGTGGGTCGGTCTCTTCAAAGCTGGACTGGCTTTAGCACATATATCCAAGAAAGTGTACAGGGAACATTACTTTCTGGCATAGGGCCTGGTTGGTGTGGATACCTTAAAAATATTTAGTAAGGAATCAGATTGTATTATACTGAGATTAGTTTGATCTACACATTTAAGTACTAGAAAAAGTGAAATGTAAAAGCTTTAAACTATAAAACGGGACAAATAGATTTCCACAGCGTTGTAAGTTTATTCAGTCTATTATTCAGGGATATTTCTCCCTGAATTGTTCAGTGCATGTTTAAACTACATGTTTCTGAAGGAGTCCACAACAGATAATGCGGCTTGTTTTCTCTCTCCATCTCTCTGACAGTCTGTCTCTCCCTCTATACGGATAACTGTATGTATTCTTATGGCCTGCTGCTGAACAAACTCATTAAGGAACAAACTCTGCTTCAAACCAACCAGAAAATTACCCCATGAGTCTAACAGGACAATCCAAGGACAGACAAGCAGCTTCTCTGTCACATCCAGTCAGAGAACAAAGCCTAATGAAGGCTTAGTGGGTTTATCGAACACCTAGCATGTGCCTTTTTAAAGGCCCCTTTGAAAGTAATACAAAGTGTCGTGGTTTGAGAACATGCATTGCCTTTTAACACTAAGCACTGCACTAGGTGCTAAACACTGGCATTTTAAACATGATTTTACACATCTGTAGAGAATCTTAATTTAATCACCTTTAGGGAAGTATTTGGTTTGTTTTTACTGCTAACTCAAAGCTGATTTATTTGGCATTAGATGAAAACTTAAAGTGCTATAAGTGAATGCAAATTAATTCCCTTTCTGAGATATATATTTTTTTTTTTACTTTATAGAGATTTTTGGAATAAATAGCCGGTAAATGTCTTTATCAGTCAATAGCAAAACTCCAGCTAATGCTGTGATATTTCACACTCAGTAGCTTCCAATTAAGTGATGTTATCCAGGGAGTTGCTACTGACAGTATCAATAACATCTATGTGACCTTCTGTTCCTCTTTCTGTTCTTCTTCCTATATCAGTCAGTTTCCTCTTTTCTCTACCTAAACATAGTACATTGTACACTTATTTTATCCAGCTCTCAATTGCATTGATGTCATCTTTAATTGTTTGTCACAGAACTTCAGCTTTGACCCTCAAATGATGAAAATTTGCTTTTTCTTTTTTTTCTTTGAGAGACTCAGACTAAGCGTCAACTAAATGGTTTAATTAGAAAGGTAATTGTGACTGCATTGAAATGTGGTGACTCACTGTGCAATTGCTTTTTGCTAATGTCTCAGCTAAATCTACAGTTCCCACCAATAACAATGTCATTATGTTCTTTTATTCTTTTTTTTTTTTTTACAGTAAAGACTTGTGGCAGTAATCTTCAAGGACCATCAGGGACCTTTACATCTCCCAACTTCCCCATTCAATATGAAAGCAATGCCCAGTGTGTGTGGATAATTACAGCATCAAATCCAAATAAGGTAATAAGCATGTTGTTTGCTTTGCCTTCTTTTTAGCAGCTCAATTTTACCTCAACTACAGTACTAGAAATCTTGTTTCAAAGGAAGGCTTGCATCTTGCAATCTTCTTGTTTTTCCTTAAAGATGTGTCTTTGGTTTGATTTTTTAATTATTTATTGTTCAGAATTGTTAGATCTTTTTTCTCTCTTTTATTTATGAACTAATTTGACCTATATATCGGGTGCAGAAATGCAAATCAGTTAACCAGGGTTAGCTTATATAGGATAAGGTGCCTCTAATAAGGAGCTTATTTGGAATGACTCAGAACCCAGGGACCCAGGATTCAGGCAAGTGAGATAATTTAAAAGCTTTTATTTAAGCAACGACAATCAGTTTGAGGATCTGCATTAGCAGCGGCTAGGGTGTGCGAGGCAGGTAAATCTGGCGGGAGATAACACAGTTTTGAGACCACAAAAAACCTGCAGAGGATGACATGAATGCATGAGTCACTAACCTTTTATAGAGTTCAGTTCTTGCCCAGAGAAGGAGGTTGATACCAGCCAGTCAGCTGACAAGACGCAGCTCTTGCCGCACAGAGGGAAGCCAAAGCCTTGAAGGACACAGAACTGACAGGAGGTCAGATCTGAGCAGATGACGGAGGAAGGCAGAATTATCCAGAGGCAAAGTCAAGATGTAGCTACAGGTTCGATGCACAGTAGAATCCAACAGAAACTGAAGACAGGTCAGGCAAACAGATCAGAACAGGGGCAGGCAGGCTCAAACGTCCAAAAACAGACACTGGTCTGGATCAGGCAATCAGAACACTATTAATACAGTTAGAAAACTCTCACACCAAAGGCTCAAGAATAATATGGCACTGATGGCTGGGGCCAAGCAGTTTAAGGATCATTAAATCATCATCAGTCCTGAGCTGGAGGCTCCTCCGAGACTGTTCCCAGGCAATCTTCTGCATCTAGAGGGGAAGCACAGTCCTCTGCAGGTGAAAATGAGGAGAGCATCCTAGATGCTTCCCTGCCAAATGCTGAAAAATCCCCAGTGGGATCCTACCAGCCCCCCTCCGATTTCCACACCTTCTCCAGTATCGTCTGTCACTGCTGAACCTGCCGATGGCACCACTGCTGCTTCAACCACATCAGCCTCTTCAACCCAGGGGGCTACCACCCTCACAGCCTCGTCATCATCGTCCTCTTCCTCCCCTGAGCCAGGAGAAGCGAGGGCTTTAGGAGCTGGAGGCAGTAGTAGCAGCTCAACAACAACTGGTGCTTACATTATCAAGGCTGCACTTTGAAAAATGAAATTGTCGAGAGAGCTGTTCTAAACAAAATTTATTTTTGTCTACACTTAAGTGTAAGTCTAAGTCTAAATAGAAGCAGTAGCGGGTGGATCAGATGAGCAGTGATGAGAAACAGGGCAGAGTTAGACAGGTGAATGAAATGAGCAATTAAGCCAGCCATCAGTGCCAAGATCATGAGATTATTAGAGTCAGGAAGGAAGAAAGATCAGAAAATGTCAGTCAAAGTTGGACTAGGACAACAAGTGGGATAAAAACAGTTGTAAAGAGAGGTGAGGAGGATGAGTGGGTTAAAAAAAAGTTCACAAAAAGGTTGTAGGAGAATGGGTAAGATGAAAATGGTCAAAAAGAGGGAGGGATATGTGCAGGATCAGTTGCATGAAAATTGTCCAAAAAAGGGATAAGGAAGGTTTGGATCCAGAGATGTTGTACAGAACATTGAGAGGGAATAAAATAGGATTTAGAGAATAAAAAGAAGGATTTGTCAAATGGAGAAGATTTGTAAAAGAAAAGGGAGGAGGAGCTATGGTGGATGGTTAGAGACAGAGCATTAGCCGGGTTAAGAAAAGATCAAATATATTTATTAAGGGCACAATACAAAACATGCTGTTATTGCTGTGTACTAGGGGTAGAAACAATGGCAATGAAAAAGAAGCAATATAAATAAGGAATAGATGTAGTTTTGGATGATTCTGTGCCATATTGTAACTCTTCTCTTTCAAGCATTTAAACATATAATTATCCCTACTGTATAGTTTCAACTGCTTCTTCATAAAGTTATTCAGGTCAACTAACCCAATTTAAAAGTTTTTTGAGTGCATATCTAGAGCACTTTTGAAGATGGCACTGCAGTAATTTATGCTAGCTGTGGGTTAAAGATAATATCGGTCGCCAAAATGAGTCCTTTTATGCCTGTTGGCAAAGAAAGGTGGGAGTGATGCTAGTGGAATATCAAACTAGTATCAGGGCCAATGACTAATCAAGACTGGGACTTACATGATCATTTCTGACCAGCTTGTTTAATGTTAAAGCATATTATATAGTTCATTTTAAACTAAGACAATTCAAAGCCCTTTACATGAACAACAATTAAGAAACAAAAGCACAGAGAAAAGAACACTGCAATGGCTTTACAAAGGCAGAAAAAGAAAAAGGATTACAAGCCTAAATTAATTGTTTCACTTAGAAATTTTAAACGCAGTTCTAAATAAAAGGGGTTTTAACCTTGAATTAGATAAATTTAACTGCCAGGTCAGTGTCATACCTATTTCATTGTACAAGTGTAGAGGTGTTCAACGTTTTGTTTTAAATACCTTTAAAATTTTAAAGCCAGACTCTGGTTGTTTCAAAAAGTAGGATGGATGTCATTGCCAATGTTCGCCCAGGTGGGATTGTCCTTTCTGACATAATCCGCTGTCACACCTTGACGATTTAGACCAGCGTACTGTATGCCTAACATGCGAAATACGCTGGCATACTTTGGATAAGTTATGGGTAGATACATAAGAAAATCCCTAGTTTTAACGACAAATATTTGACCTTTCATTGATTTATAAACAAAAATGTATAGTATTTTAAAGCGTATTTTCTGAGATTCAGGGAACTATGGTAAGGATTTAAGAGCTAGAGTGATGTACCCTGCCTTTTTATTTATGCATTTCACCTTGAGCTGGATGGTTTAATATAAAAAATATAAATTTATTAACATTTTAACTGAAATTAAAAGCAAACCTTTTTCAAGTTTATCCTTAATTCTTTTTTTTCTAAAAGTGATGTGGGGTGACGAGTAAAGCAAATGTTCAAAACATATTGGTTTCTAACTCTGTGAGATCAGTTAATCCCCACAAAGAAGCAGGGATGGGCTGGAAGCTCGATAGATATCTGCTATTGGCCTTTTTCTCTCTCAGGAGATATCTGATTTGTATTCTGAGGCACATCCTTGTTCGACTCTAGCTCTCTTTAGTGACTGCACTGTCGTCAAGGGCAACACCTGCATCAGCATGATGGAGCTGTACTTACATATTCGCACAAACACTCAAAACAATGCTGTCTATGAGAGAGCAAAAAGAATGCTGCTTTCTTCTATCCTCAGAACAGAAAACCCTGTCACATTTAAGAGACTACCCTTTTTGCCAAAAAGCTCCTATTCTCTCCTCATTCCTTTGCTCCCAAACTCCCAAACACAGCACTCTCTGTCACTGCCCAAGGCCTCTGGTTTATGGCCTACAGCAATAGATTCTTTCTTGAAGGCTACAGTGTGTGTGTGACTGCTGAAGGTTGCATCACTAATACCCTCTGCACCCTTTGTGGTGTGCATTTATATTAGTGTGTGTGTGTCTGTTGAATCTATAGGTGTGTGTGCACTGTACATATATGCATAAAATGAAGGTATATGTATTTTAAATGGTAATGGCTACAATGAATTAAATGATGACCAGTTGAGTTTTAGCTACATCAGCACATTCTTGTATCAAATACTGTTATATGCCATACTACATCATCCTAATGACATCTAAACCACTGGGTTCAGTACATGGCTTTTAACACATATTATGTATACACCACATCATCTGCCATGCTGAATCCTACACTACATGGAACAGAGCCTGCTTTGGATGGCATTCATTTCAAGAAGAGTTTTATTAGAGGTATGTATATTTGAACATCACAATGTTTAAAGGGGGGATAACCTCCACTTAAATCTCAAAGGCAATTGAGTATATAGTGGTTAATATATCTGCAACACAAAGTACACAAAATAAAGACATTGTTGGGTAAAAATAACAACTGTTGTGTACTCAACAAGTGTACTTAGTAATAAGTTATTTTAGAGAGCGCTGAGGCTTTACATTTTTTTATTTTAGTTTTTATTTTTTTCAGTATCATTATCTTCCCATTATTATTAACTATCTACTGCACAATTACCAGGACTCCAGCTGGTATTGGATTTTACAGTCCACTTTTACAAGTAGAACAGCACTTAGAGGGCCTGATCTTCAGAAGAATTACGTATCTTAAACAGGTGTAAATGTTTGTATGCTCAGAGCAGATCTTTAAGTCACAGTGATCTGAGTTTGCAATTCAACAAAGAGATTATGTGCATGTATAAAGACATATTTGAACCATCAGAAATAACAATAACAGAATATTATTGTTGAAGAAAAAAAATCTGTGCAGGTGGCCACAGATCCACAGATCATACAGCAGGAAGGAAGACAATTTATATAGATTGTATTCATCACTTTTTACTCTTCTCTGCAACTTAAGCCAGTTTTTTTGTTTTGTTAATAGGATTGAGTCAAATGGGCCTTGGAAGAAGGTTGTTTTTGCATTTGGGCATATGTTTCCCCTGGCCATGGATGTTTTAGATGAGTCTCTGTTCGAGCACACCTGATTAAAATTATAGCTCCTTCTCTGCATGTCATGAAGTTCTGCAGAGGCCTTTTAAAACACCCATTTAATCAAGTTATGTGTGTTGCTGTAAATAGACATCTGGGGACACCACCAGGGTCCCTCAGGAGCAGGGTTAGGAACTCCTGTTTTAGATTAATATGACTTTGTAATTTCAAGTACAGCTTGTTTTCAGTTTTGTGGCGGAGGCCATACTGTATTTATTTAAAATCTGCTCATGTTTTAGAATTTTTCAGACTCGCAAATGCCCAAAGAATTACAGATCCTTCAACATAATTAACTTTGGAGTTGAGGTTTT